GTGCATCCATGTGCATCCACAGAGCATCCGTGTACCTTCACAGTGCATTCACAGTGCATCCATGTGCACCCCTGTACCTTCACAGCACACCCACGGTGCCAACCCCTTTCCCCCTGGGGTGTCACCTCCTCCACCCCCATCCCAACCTGCACAAACACATCTACTGGCACCCTACGAATCCCTCCACCAGTTGGAGTCAGCCTTAAATCAAATCATCCCCAACAACAATGACATTAATTATGCTTTTAACACATTTTACTGCTTCCCCCCTTCCCTTCACACCACATCTGTGTGAACAATATCCCAAAGATTTACGGTTTTCTCCCGTAATTACAGACACACACCAGCTCACTTATCAAAATACTTGCTGAGCAATCAGGCTCTGTTACAGGCTCTGCCAGAGATTTGTGTTGACAGCAGCCATTCAAAGCCAAAAAACGTCGAATCAGGACTTACAAAGTGCCACACAAAGAGTTCACCCAACAAGAGACACACGGACATGTAACTGGCAGGGACAAACTGACAGCAGGGGGAGGATTTGGGGAGCAGGAGGGGAGAAAGGAGCAAGGGAAGGATGCTGTGGGACAGCAGAGGGGGGGAAAGAGGAAGGGTGTGTGTGTGGAGATCACAGTTTGGGGTGTGCACGTGTGTGCAAGGAGGAGGAACACGGCGGGTGCACGCAGGGAGGGAAGATAACTGGGTTCTGGAAACTGAGCTGACATTTGGTTCTTGTAGCACAGGAGAAAATTTAATGAGGACAAAAATATGTCTCCCTAATTCCCCTAAGAAATCATTAAAACATTTTGTTATTCCTAAATGTCTGGAAAATGAATTAGTGGCCCTGCAGGAGCCTTTCTGTGCATCTTCAGCCGTTCGCAGCTCCCTGTCCTCACCGCGCCAGGGGAGCCCTCGGCCTAGAGCACGGCAGAGCCCGGGGCAGGGAGCAGTGGGGAGGGGGGTCCCGGCCTCTCACCCTGCCCTAGCACCCAGTCTGCCAACACAAGCCTGGAAGCTACCCCGTGCCTCAGTTTCCCCCTCCCAAGAGGTCGAGCGATGCCGGGGCCGCCCCTGGGGGGGAGCGGGGAACTTACCGTCGAAGAGACACGCGGGGACGGGCGCGGTGCTATGACAGGGGCTGAGCAAATGTATTCCTTTCCTAACGTCAAGATGCATTTGGCTCAGGGGCTGAAACCCAGCGACGGCAAAAGCTGTTCCTGCTCCTCTCTCCAGCGGGTATTTCCAGAGCAGCGGGGGATGCCCGGCGTGCCGGGATGGGCTGGCTCCTCTCGGCACCGCCAAGCCGCTCGTTAGGCAGCCAGGTCGCTGCCGCGTTGCTTACCTGGAGCTTCGATTAATTGCTTGTAAACACTCAGGAAAGTCGTCTCAGCCTCTTTGCTTCTCTTACTAAGTGCAATCACCTGCAGGGAGATGGAAAAAAGGGGGTGAGAGATGGGTTCGGGGGAGGGAACCGGCTCTGCTGGGCCGCTGGGACCCCTGCTTGGCACACGGGTCCCCCCCAGGCACAGCTCTGCTGGCTGCCTTTGGCTAAACCCCATTGCCACTTCACATCACCCTAAATCATTGATGTGCTCTGAGTAAATGAAAATTATAATTTAATGTCGGCGCTTAAATAAGAAATAAAGAAGCCTGCCCGTTGCTGCGCTGGCCGGGCTGGATCCGGCACCCAGCCCTTCCCGCAGGCACGGCTGGGGTGCTGCTCCTGCTAGCCCTGGGCACCAGGATGGGGACTCAGTGCCCCTCTCAACCCCGGGGGGCTGGTGACCCCCACACTAGCTGCGTGGTGCGGAGAGGACGCGCTGCCTTGCTAACAACCCAACACCACATTCATCTGCTGTGCTCCCATCCAACATTGATGAGCATGAATCATTTACCCCCTGGCATTTTTCAAGGCTGCTGCCCACCAGGGTCCAGTGCATTTTGTTTGCCAAGGGCCTCCTTGTAGCCCCCTGCAGTGGATGGGATGGGGTGCCAGTGGGACACATGGACCTCTGTGTCCCTGCTATGGGAGCCAGGAATGAAGGTGATCCATTCCCTGACAGAAAACACCCAGTTTGATCCAAACTGGGCATCTGTGCCAACTGATACTGGAGGAAGAGACACCCACCCAGCCTTCAGTGCTGACAGACATATTGCAGAATCATCATAGAATAGTTTGGGTTAGGAGGGAACTCAAAGATCATCTAGTTCTAAGACCTCACCATGAGCAGGGACACCTCCCACTAGACCAGGTTGCTTCAAGCCCCATCCAACCTGGCCTTGAACATTTCCAGGGATGGGGCAGCCACAGCTTCCCTGGGCAACCTGGGCCAGTGTCTCACCACCCCCATAGTAAAGAATTTATTTCTAGTGTCTAACCTAAATCTCCCCTCTTTCAGCCACTGTAAAAAGTCCCTCCCCAGGTACTGGAAAGTGCTCTAAGGTCTCTCTGGAGCCTTCTCTTCTCCAGGCTGAACAATCCCAATATTCCCAGCCTGTCCCCATAGCAGAGGGCTTCCAACATGCTATTACCAACAACAGACTAGTTAATTAATCGACTCTTAAACCATCAATTGGCTAATTATCAAATGAAACCCAAACTTAGTGCCTCAGCCCCGTGGCAGCTCCCACGCCGGGGCATCCTTTCCCTTCTCGGTGCTGGCGGAACTCCCAGCTCGCCCTGGATTGCCATTCCCTGTCACTCAAACTCCAAGCAAACCCCTCATTTGTAATCCAGCAGCTACCTGAGCAAACCGCCTTCGCCTCGCCAGCCTCGCAGGCGCTGGAGCACAAAGATCATTTTTCTATTGTTACACTTGTAAAAAAGCCGGGGCTTTTTATAGCGTCTCGTACACAAACCCGCGTCCTCGGCGCAGTGTTTCCAGCAGAGGAGGAACCTGGGGCTTTTTCTTCAGCCTTCTGAAAAAAAAATGCCTGGCTTCAGGGTGCTCTGCAATAAGAAGAATCCAGTGGGGAGAGGAGGGGGGAGGCAGCCAGTGAGGGGTGGCACTGGGAACCTTGCTTGTGGTCCCTAAGGATGTGGAGACACGGTGGTGCTGGGGTGCCCCAAGGTGGCTGCCCTGCATGATCCCCATCCCCCCTCTGCTTCCCACACCCTTTGGATTTCGGATGGGAGCGGGCAGAGCCCATCAGCTCAGCTCTGCCATGGGGGGACAGGGACACCTAGACCTGCTCTAGAGCGGCTTCACCTCCCCTGAGATGGTGTTGACCAAAGGGTGCAGAGCAAAGAGCCAGCCCTAAGGTGTTCTCCATCATCACCTCTCCATCACCCAGACCTCCACATTGGGCTGTTCCCACTGGATTTTATTCCTGAAGTCACTTCATAAAGACAAAGGGATTTTCAAGGGGAAGATCTGACACCTTTCCCTCTCCTCAGCAGTGCCGATGGAGATCTGAGCATTCCCCACTAGGAACACGGTGGCTCTGCAGTGGACAGGAGCCCACAGCATCTCCACACTATGGTTCCATGGACCTCACCTCCCCATAGACACCAGCCACCACCTCACCAGGGACAGATACAGGTTCCTGTCTGGTTCATGTGAGGGAATGAGGTGTTCACCCACCTCCAGCCCCATCCCGGGGGATGCACGTGAAGCAACTTCTGACCCATTAACTACCACCAACATCTTAACTGGAGCCACAGGACCTGCAGTTTGCTGGTGAAGGAGGTGTTTGGTGGCGATTTCATCAGAGGAGGCATTTGGGGACCATTTCACTGTCCCTGGCTCCTGCAGGTCCCCCTGTGCTGGGATCTGGCTCAGGGCTGCCACGTTTCAACCCATTCCGATCCCAGAGCATCGCCAGCGTGGCCAGTCAGCAGGATGATGAGCCATCAGCTCTTCCTGCTCCTGAATGCCACTGAGCCTCAAGGAGGTGTTAGCGAATAAAATTAAACAAAAGGATATTTTAATTTTTCAGCGACCTTTTCTGGATGGGGATAATTCACCAAAATGCCACGGGTGACTCCTGCAGTGCAGGGCACAGCTCACCCCAGCTCCTGAAACCGCTGTTACTCCTCATGGAGAGCTTAATTGACACCCAGAAGAAGCACAAATCAGCCCTGAAATTGAGGGTTTGTAGAAAAAATACCAAGCCCTGGCTCTCTCAGGACAGAAGCTGGGCCAAACCCGGTGTCCTTCCCTGATAGAGTGATGTCACCCGTGTCATCAGGGGAGAGAACAGCTACAAACAGGGCACATGAACATCTCTTCAAACAGCCCTAGCAAAATAAGGTGGGATGGTGGCATCTCCACTCCCCCCCTTCCCATTGGTGACACTAAATCCCCCGCTGGCCACTCACTGGGCTTGGCCTCCTCAGGATTTGTCCACGTACTGTTCAATTCTCCCCTCCCAGCCCAGCAGCAGCACCAGGCTGAAGGTGAGGCCCGGCAGGATCCACCGCCGTGTGATGAATTACATTTCCACGCCGGGTCCCTTCCATGGCTGGTGACTTTCCAGCAAAGCAATTATCGCTGCAGAATGCGTAATAGCCTAATTAATTACTATTGTCAGGCTGGCCTCCGCGCCATGATTATACCTTCCGAAGCCAACTTTTTAAAACATTTGGAAGCAGAAATATTATTATAATTGGCTGACAAAATGGTAAAGCTCCCCCGGCGCAGCCGCTCCTCCCGCACGGCGGGGAGGACCCACAGTCTGAGCAGCCCCTCTCCAAAGGCGCGGGATTTGCATCGGCACCGGCGCGGAGTTTATTCTTCCATCCATCAGATCAAGTGCAGGATAAGTAGTGGGTTATTTCCATCTAAATACTGGTGGCAGCAAACCACAAATGAGCTCTTTTTTCAGCGGAGAGGAACAGCTGTGGGGGGGGAGAGAAGAGGGGGGGAGAAAGCGGCAGCAGAGACCCCAAATGTTGAAGAAAACTGATGAAAAAAAATCAATTGATGCAAGATTTCGCTTCTTCCTCGCTTTTTTTTTCCCCCCTGATGTGTAAAGAAGTCGGGGAGAGCTGCGAGGGGGGAGAGCCTGGGAGGGAGCTGCTGTCCCCAGGGAGAGCTATGGGGGATGGAGGCTGGTCCTCCGTGTAGAGAGGGGTCCCTTGACACCTTCCCAGTGCCCCAGGTCTGACTGACTCCTTAAATCCATCACACACATCCAGAGATCCACTGGGCACCCACAGACCTGCTGCACATGGACAAGCCCATTGCATACAGACATAGATCCTTCATACATGTGCACAGACTCCTCACACACATGCACAGACCCCTCACACATGTCCTCAAACCCATCACACATACACAGACCCCTCATGCATGTGCACAGACCCATCATGCACGTGCTCAAACCCATCACACACATGCACAGACCCATCACACATGTCCAGACCCACCATATACACCCATGCACAGCCCCATGGCAGCCCCCAGCCCCATTCTGCCCCCCCTTCCCACTCCTCCCACTCCCACACCCCCATCTCCCACCATTCTCACAAGGCCAAAAAGCAATTCATGTCAAAAAGATCAATAATATAAAAATAAAGCCTGAGAATTCTAGTTAAAGGGAACGTCACAGAAATATGTTGTTCACGTTCATGATTCAGAGATTAAAAAAAAAAAAAAGAAGAATCAATAGAAGTTCTTCAGATGATGTTATTTCTAATGAGAAATATACCCAGACTGCTGCAAATAACTGCTTAACGGAGAAAAAAAATGCATTAATAATTTACTTTATAAAGCATAGGATCCCGAATGCAAGAAAATTGCTGCTGGATCTTAATTTTGTTGTAATACTTCCTGACAAGTTCAATGGTGCTTTGGCAAAGTTCCTGAAAACAGAAGATGTTCAGCTCATTAGGTTATTTTCTTTCCCCTCTTTTTCCACTGCATCCCACCCCAGCCAGTGCTGGGAGAAAGTGCTGGAGCTTTTCCCTTTCCCCACACACCAAGATTTCTTGGGCTGAGCCCCCAGACTGAGGCTGGTGCTGCCAGGCATGAGCATCCTCCTGCCTCCTCCTGACACCTGTCCCCAGGTGAGCTCCAACCACCACCCAGCAAGCAGGGAAAATATTTCAAGCTTATTTCACCAACATAACTTAACACAGTTCTTTTTCCACCAGTTGGCTCAGTCGATTTCTCCCTTAATATTTTTTTTCCCTTAATCTTTTCTCCTCTTTTTTTTTTTTCCTTTTCTTAATTTATTTTTTTAGTGCATCTGCTGACAGTTGGCAACTCCAAACCATCTGCTGCCAGCACACACACACCAAAAGGCTTCAGCATTGAACTCAACGAGGCTCAAAAGAGCAGGTTGATTCCTGACCGCTGGCACGAGAAGGTGCCACTTGGGTGGGTTAATTCCCAGCAGGGCCAGAGTCCTGCACAACATTATTTTCCTGAAAAATTGTTCTCTGACATTATTTTCCTGCAAAATTACACCAACTTCCCAAGGCAGTGGTCCAGGTCCTGGGAGGAGCTGGGCAGTGATGCGTGGGTCTCTTCATCCCTCACCCAGATGAAGTAGAGGGATGAGGGGCTTCCCACTGGTCCCTGGGTTTGGGATGGAGCTGGGATGGCCCCAGCAGGCAAACACACCCCAAGCATCACAAAGTTTCACCTCCCATTTAGCAGAACAAAACTTTTAATTTAGATGTTTTCATCTATCTATCAGAGTAAAAAAAAAATAAGTTTAAAATAATGACTGTAATAAATGAAGGTAATTAATTGTAGTTTGTTCCTTTACTGTCTAGTCAGCTTAATTTTACCTTTTCATCTAATAATGAGAAAATAATTTTTGTGCTCTGAGGGTTAATGATATGTAACTGCAAGAGCTGCTAATTGCATGTTGCAAACTATTCATCAAAATCCCCATCTGCGCTACTTGATTATGTTTGCTAAATTATTGCTTTGAATTATCTTTCATAAAGCAACTTTTGTAATTAGCAGGGCTTTTGCTTTGCTCTTTTCTCCGTCGCAAGGATATTCAAACTTTGTCCGTCTCAAGCTGCTGCCACCAAACTGCCAGCACGGGCAGCTCGTGGTGACAGACAGAGAGTGCCCTTGAGCTGATTTGGGGGGGAAATAAAAACCAGGTTTATTTTTTACAGGTACAATTTATCCTCCTGGCCCTGCTCCTCTGTCCTCAAGGAAAAAAATATATAGGAAGGAAAGAGAAGCCTAAATATATATGATGTATTCAGGAATGGCAGGGAAAAATGGCCCCAAAATCCCATCTGTCCCCACCCAGGGACATAATTTTAAAGTTATGGTTGTTTTGTTGTTGTTGTTTGTTTTTTTTCCTTCCCATTTCCAAGCAGGAGAGGAGAGGGAAGGATTTGCATTCCTGACCCCATTGTTATGGGATCCTTCTCACCCTGTAGGAGATGGAGCACTTGGCTCTCCTGGGCTGGTGTCCATGGGGAGGAAGATGGTAAAGGAGTTGTTTAAACTGGGAAAAGAAAGAGGGAGGAAAGAAAGAGAGGGTAATACAGAAAGAGGAGGAAATAAAGGAAGAGGGGGGAGAGAGGAAAAAGAAAAAAAAAAAAATTTAGGAAGAGGAAAAAGAAAAAAGAGGAAAAAGAGATAAAGGAGATAAAAAGAGGGAAAGGGAGGAAAAAAAATAAGAAAGAGAGAATAAAGAGAAAAGGGAGGGGGGAAGGAGAGGAAAAAAAAAAAAAAGAGAGAGGAAAAATATTAACAAAGATGAAAAAAATGGGACAAAAGAGAGTTAAAAGGGTGCTGAGGACCCTACAGTCCTTGCCCCAGGAACCTCTTGGGTGTCCATCCTGCACCTCCTGGCCCTGAAGCAGCCCAAAAAGCCAACCTCAAGGGAGCAGAATCTACCTTTTGGGATAAAATCCCCCCAAACCTCCTGCAGAATAAAGACCTTGGGGAGGAGGAAGGCAGCAGTGAGCTGGGAATCGCATCCTACTCCCCCTGACACCCTCATAAATCCAGAGCCACTTGGGCAGGGGCTCCCCAAAGGACATAGCTCATCTTCTCATAGCGGATCTAATGAAGACTATTGGAAAAAAATGCAGTATTTAAAAGACTGAAAATGTATTCCTATTGTTATCACTCTCTTTTATGTGTTTATGCACAGTGCATCGGAATGAATCAATACTGGATTGCCCTATAAATAAATGAGCATATCAGTAAACCCAGTAATAAAATGAAGTGATGAAAAATATGGAAATCAGTCGCATTTGTGTAAATCCACTTATTGTTTACTTTAATATTTCCTTATGCAGTTCCCTGGCTCCAAAGAGACAGATTTAAAATCAGGTAATGCTCAGCAGATGACAGATCCTAACGTGTGGCTGCTGGCGAGCTCCGAGTGCCGGCAGCTCTCCAGGGGTTTCCATCCTGGCACGTTAGAGGAGCAGAGGAAGGAGTCCCCAGAGAGCTGGCACTAAAAAAACAGGGAGAGGAAGAGGTATCCTGAGGATCTCTTGCTGGCACTGGGGACCAAAGCCCAGGCATGCAGAGCCACCAGGGATGTGGAAGGAGCATGGGGCTGGGGAGGACCTGGGTTATGCTCGAGGATGGAGATGTCTTCTGTAGGGATGTGGTGGGTTGGGACCATGTTGTTCCACCCCAGTGCTTGGCTCCTCCTCAGATTG